TAAGTACTGTCAATGTTATCAAAATAAACATCGTAATTTACAAACCATTTATAAAATGAAATATATAATAAACAATGACCTGCTAAGCTTAGAGATTAACTCGGAGCAAACGATTGTAACAGAGCGTGGAAAAACAAAAGGAATCGGAAACACATGTCCGGCTTCAATTCAAAGACTGTCGCGAGCTGAGGGTTTTGACTATGATCTCATCCGAACAGTGACATCAAGGTAATCTCACCTCGTTCGTAAATATATCATACTTTTCGCTGTCACCTTACCACTACACAATTTGCAAGCAAACGTTTGTTGTGAAACGAACGTGTAATGCGAAAGAATAACTCAGCTAATTGCAGCCAGAAATTTACAGACTCGTAAAGCGCCTTCAATATTTCATCGCTATATCACTGGATGTTTTCATAGATGTTTACTGACAATGAAAAACATAAGATTGTTCGAACTGAATAGGCAAGCGAATTATCTACGAATAAGATCTCAGACCTCATCGAATCTTAGACCTTCGGATTACGCATTGCAAAGCTCAATCACTGAGACTCTAAAGTGAGCTCGGCCAGTATTAGGTTGTAAAGTTTGATACTTCGAAACGAGTAGGTTATATTACGCCAACATTGGTTGTAAATTACATTTTCGCTTTTCAGATGAGACCAACATACAGACCTATCGAGCTGAGAGTTCATGTTTCAATAATTGCCGGTCGCAACGGCAAGTTCCGAAGCAGAATTATAACTCGCATACTTTTGTAAACAAACGTTCGTTGTGAACTCATTTGTAACACGAAAGAAACACTCAAATAAATCGAGGTAATCCGGTTCTTTAAAAATTATCAGTTAACCGTTTAACTCCATGAATTACCAAGAGAGAATTGTGCTAATGTACCACCGCTTACCTGAGGTTAAAACCACCAGCGTACAGAAAATCACTAGGAGAAACAACATAGTCGTGCGGTCGAGAATTAAACCAATTTTCTTTAACTGTAGAACTAAAGCGCTAGTGGTGTGAGACCGGTTGCACAAGCTCATGAAAGTGTGCCTTTTATAGCCATGTGATGATATAATTACATACTTGATCATTTGTACGCCCACACGGTGGCAAATATGAAATTAACTGGTCGCTCCACGTGTGAGCACGCCGTGTGGTTAAAAAAAAGAAAAAATTACTTTTTTAAAACCCAGCCACCTGTAGACAATTGGGTGATTTTTAATTTGTTAATTATCAGAAAAAATACTGCTTTTCTTTCGTCACAGCACAAGCGTGGAAAGTAAAAGAAAAGAAAATCTTGTCCTCAATTTTATCTTTTTACTTTCTGTCTCTGTAGGAATTTTTTTCTTGCGGTTATTCGGTGGAATCAGCCGAGGGGGTAATTACTTCAAAAGACAAAATAGTTTAATAATCTATAATGCTTACGAAATCGATTTAAAGAATTACACAATTTGTTCTCGTCGTGTACATAATTGATAGCCTGCGAGGAAGAATTTTGTGACAGACTTTGATCAAAATAGTGAAAAAAAAAAAGAGGCGTGAAATTAGCCGTTTTTAAATAAAAATTGCGCTTAATCGAGCGCTGATTTGAAAGATTTTAACCGTCAAATGAAATTACTATACTTTTAGAAATCTCTGAATTAAAACAGATTAAAGTCCGCCTTTTATTAACCTCAAAATTGTTGTTTTTGAAAGCAAACATCTGTTGGAAAATCATACTCGCGCGGAATGTGCACAGTAAGCTAAGTTGTAACTGCTTCGCAAA